GCTACACCTATTTACGTGTCACTATATTATTGGATGGCATATCACATTATTGAGGAAGAATTTCTCAATAATCCAACAAAACAATCATCATCTATAAACAATACTAGTATCTCACTCTCCCTGTCTGAGAACTATTCAGAAGAAAAAAGAATGGAGACGATTCCTACCAAACTCTTGTTCTGTATTTCCTGGCTTTTCATTGTTTTCTGCTGGTTGTTTTCGGTGGACACTATGGTGGCTCAAAATACGACGGCCTCCGCAACGATTCCGGTGAAAGTGGGAGTCGTTCTTGATTTGGATACGTGGGTTGGCAAGTTAGGGTTGAGCTGCATCAACATGGCCCTCTCCGACTTTTATTCCAACCATAGTAACTACAGAACCAGGCTACTTTTAAACATAAAGAACTCCGAAGGAGATATTGTTGGGGCTGCTGCTGCTGGTACGGCCTCTTTTCCTCTTCTTTTCTTTCATTCTTTCCTCCCCTTCTTTTGGCAAAAACCCTCCTTAAGTCCCCAAAGTTGCGTCAAATTAGCATTTACACCTATAAAGTAAAAATGATACAAATAAGCCCTCAATGGCTAATGGTACTATTGGCCCAAATGGCTGGATCGACTCTGTTTGCTCCCTTTTTATTTGTTATAGATGCTGCTGTAAAGGAATCTTTAGGTCTTGCTAAAATCTTGAAAACTCCAAATTGAAAGAAAATATTTAGAGACAAATTTTTTTTTGTATAACTTTATATATTATTTAATGATTAACTATTTTTACTCAATTGGGATTTGTTATATTATATATATTTATTTATTTAATAATATGTTAAAGTTGTATAAAAAGATTTGCACAAAAAATTCATTTATATATCATTACCAAAAAAAATCAAAAGAAATTAAAAAGGCACTTTTACCCAATTTGGCACTTACATCGCCACATCAGCATCACCAAACGGGGTCATCCATGTTAAACAACTGTTAGCTAAGGGCTTGTTCGCACTAGTCAAGGAGTTTGAGGGCTTATTTGCATTAATTTAAGGGCTTAAATTTAATTTGGGGTAAGTTTAGGGGCTTAAGAAGGGCTTTTGCCCTCTTCTTCTCCCTGTATATACCGTAGCCAATTTTTATTTTTATATTTTATTGAAAACTATGTTATGAAGCACTTCTTTTATGAAAAATGGAAATTTTTATAATAATAATAATAATAAAAAAAAACTAAAAAGAGATTACATTTGAATATCTATATATCATGATATTATAATCTAAAATTGAAAATTGAAGTATTACTTGTAACACTAATTACAAACTTAAACTATATTTATGACAAATTTAAAATTAAGCGTAACAAGTTATTTGCAACTAAGATTAAAAACAATCACTATAGAGGCAAAGACAAAACTACTAGGTAGAGGGATTATACAATTAAGTGGTCAAAGTTTTTGCAAAATCTAACTGAAATTGCCACCTTCTGGTAAGAGCAAATAACGCTAAAGGTCATAGTCCCAATCTACCAACTATTAGTCCTTTCCTAAACAAGCCTCCCATCCACCTACAACCTATCATGCCACCCTCAATCTCCACCTTCGATCCACCAATCACCTTCGAATTCAAGTTCCTTTGCCACCAATACTGTCCTTTAGTTATCCTAAAGAACCCAGTAAGGAGGGACTCAACATACTTGAGAGAAAATTATTGTAAATGATAGTAAATTTGCCTTGAGTGAAAGAGTGGAAAGGGAATAAAGGGGCAAAGGAAAAAATATGAGGGTTAATACCTAGATGGGAAACATAAACGAGGAGAGGGATAGGCAAAAATAGAATAACAAAGGGAAGGGGAAAAAAGGCAAAGAGGAGGGATAGACTAAGGGAAGGTGAGAAGACGGATGGAGGATGGAGGAATATAATTTTGAAGATGCACATAGAAAGATTATTATTAAAAATATAATTAAGTTTGGATTTTAAATGCCATTGGATATTTATTTGGTATTTATTGAAGATTTTAAAAGGCTTAATGAGTATTTATTTAGTATTTATTAAGGATACCGATACATATACCCTCTGATTCAACACATCTCCACAATACATTCATCAAAAAATCATTATTTTTTAGTTTGGAATTAAAGGCAAAAAACTTAAAGACATAGCCATATGTATACAATATAGAGGAACCAGCTAAACCAAAACTACATTTATATTATATTTTATGGCTAAACTGGCTAGGTGTCTATATGTATGTCAAATTGAAAGGTGTTCTAATAATTTTTTTATTTATTAAAGATTTATTGAAGATCTTAAAAGATTTATTAAGTATTTATTTAGAATTTGTTGAAAATTTTAATTATTTTTATAATATATATTAAGATAAGATAGGTCCCAATGAGGACATCATACATTTTTTTAAAAAACACACACACACAGTGGAATTTACTTTATAAAACCTCGAACACATGCCCTTACGCAGGTTATGATGCATCGGATGCCACTTGGACTACAGCCCCAGGTGCAGGAGCATATCAACATACTCCTTACAAGATCCAAAAATATCACCAATCTTAAAAAGATAACCTTACTGCTACGGGCTCCATACCAATTGAACATCGGCTAAAATTGGACAGTAGCAATAGATAGTGATTGAGTAACGACACCTCCATATATACCAGTATAAAATTTGTCTCTGCATTTTAATCAGTTCACACCAGTAGAAACCACTCTCATAGCAATATACTACTATTGCATTATGCTGGGAAAATAATCTTGCTCTGTCCAATACCTAATATATTTATTAAGCGAAAAACTCTCACATTAATAACATAATAAAAAGACACGTCTGCAAAAGAATACTTAACCCATAAAAAAATCCAGACATGCCCTTATTTACTTAGCTTTGATCCACAGCCATATCTTAACCCGAATCAACCAGCCCACAAACCTATCTACATCAACATGATCTTAAAATCTAAAGTAATTTTGTGACGCCACAGCCAAACAGCCCTATATGATTGAAAACCAACAAGCCATCCAAATTTATCTCTTTTTTCTACTAGAGATCCAAACTTACATAGTACTGTAGAGATAACGTTGTTGCACAAACTCAAGCCATTTTGTTGACCACATTCACGTGTCCTGCAAGATAGACTTGAGGTAGAATTTTGGAGTAGACTCTGATATTTAAGTTTGCAGTATTCTTGTGACAGATATTCGAGTGAGAAACTCTCAATAACATTAATTATAGAAATAGCATCAATTACCACTGTGAAAGTGTGAAAAGACAGTTGGCGCTTATTTACAGCCAAAGAACCTTCAGGTGTGGTCCACGTGGCTGTATTTAAATGATTTAATTGCGACGCATCGATGAACTGATTTTTGGCCAAGGCCTAAAGAATTGGGTATTGTTAGCCCAATTTAAGTATTGGGTTTTTTTTTTTTTTGAATGTTGGGCGTGAAACTTAAATTCTATACCTCCAATTTTGGATGAGAAGTCCCTAATAAGGGCATATTGGCCACTAGATCATTAGGAAGTTCTCTAAAGTGTTGGGGTTTTATACAAACAAATAACAATAATTTTTAGATGAATCAAATATTTTATTATGATGAGGAGTACAAATGATACTCAACTCTTAGTTTTCAGGAGACATTACAAAAGATAACCTATGAGGACATTCAAAAATTGAAGCTCAATGTCTGACAACAAATCTAGTTTTTAGTGATTTCTTACACACATAGGCTAGGGAAATTACACCAACTAAAAAAGGAGAACATAGTGTTTATAGATTTCCCCCTAATCCATGCAAAAGACCTCCTTTGAATTAAATCAAATATTTTGTCTTCTTCCCATTGATGTGAGTTGTGTATGATTTTATTTCTTGTGTACCATATGGACCATGTCACCACCAAGAAGATGAAAAACCATACATCAGCAGAAACTAATTTCTTTATCCCTTAACACAAATAACAATAATTTGATGACTCAATATTGCTCATAGTTTGCCTGTAAGCTTTTTCTTTTAAATTTTTATGGTAGGTTTGAGTAGTTAAATAGTGTTTTAAGGACGAGTAATACTGCATATTAATTTTTACCCAAAGTAAGTGACAAGAAAAGATAAAAATCTATTAAGGGTTTTTTAAAGGGAAGATGTTAAAGATGTAATAAATGTATATTTTATAATTTTTTTAAACTATCACAAATTAAATTATGGTTGCAGTACCATTTTTTTTAATTAATTTGCATAACATAACAGAAAACCAATAATTTCATTTTTAACCTCAATACCATGTGGATAACTTTAATTAAGTGATTAATAAAATTAAAGTTAACTTTTATTTTTCTATAACAAATGAGAAAAAAAAGTACAATAAACACACTACAAGAATCCTAGAAGTGAAATATCTTGCCATTACCAGTCAATTGTTACATAATATGCAATTAGACCGGGCAAACAGGTTAGATTGAGTAGATTTGAATTAGATCACCTTAAATTTGAATTAGATCACCTCAGATTTTGATTTTATTAGATTGGATCATTTCAAATTTTAGATTAAAAGGATTCCACCCACGACCCATTGGCATAAGTCTCAAATTGAATTGAGTTGATCTAACTTTTTAAAAAAATTTAAATTAAAATTAAAATTTTTTAATATTTTCTCTATTTTTGTTTAAAAAATTCAATATTAATTAATTGTTTAGTAAAAACAATTTGCTAAATTAATATTAGCTCTAATAATTTAATAAATAATAATCATTTTATAGTATTTAATTTCATTTTATACTTAACAATTAAAATTAAAAGTATAGTTAATCAAAATTTTATATTTAAAAAAATTAATTAATTTTAGTCAAATCACTTTGGGTTGACCTAACCCCATCCGACCCAATCTAGTTGGTTTCAAGTAATTTTGGGTTAGTTATATCAAATTTCATATTAAAACCTTAGACTCATGACCCTATTCATAATGAGTTTGGTCAAATTTTCAAATTAAGTGCAAGTTTATCAGGTATATATGCAATTAATGCAAACATAGCTTGAAAACTAAACTTGAATTTTTTGAACAGCTTTGGACCTAATTAAGAATGTCAAAGTGCAAGCAATTATAGGACCAAGAAATTCAATGCAGGCGAACTTTATAGTAGACCTTGGAAACAAATCTCAAGTGCCCATCATATCTTTCTCTGCAACAAGTCCTTTCCTTTCCTCAATGAGAAGTCCATACTTTTTTCGAGCAACCCAAAATGACTCATCTCAAATCAAAGCCATTAGTAGCATTGTCCAAGCCTTTAGATGGAGAGAAGTCGTGCCCATATATGTAGACAATGAATTTGGAGAAGGGGTTATACCCTACTTATATGATGCTTTGGAAGAGGTTAACGCTCGGATTCCTTACAAGAGTATTATCTCACCTCGATCTACTGATGAGGAAATTGAAATAGAGCTACTTAAGTTAATGTTAATGCAGAGTAGAGTGTTCATTGTTCATATGACCCCAGATCTTGGGTCTCGAGTTTTTGACATAGCGACAAAGATTGGAATGATGAGTGAAGGATATGTTTGGATAATAACTAATGGGATGACTAATCTTTGGAGTTTGATTCATCGTTATGATCACATGGACTCCATGCAGGGTGTGTTGGGTGTAAGGAATTATGTTCCAAAATCAAAAGAGTTGGAAAATTTTAAAGTAAGATGGAAAAGGAAATTTTTGCAAGATAATCCTAGTATGGTGAATGTTGAATTGGATATTTTTGGATTATGGTCTTATGATGCTACATTTGCCCTGGCCATGGCGGTGGAGGAGGTACTTGGCACTGCAAATTTCAACTTTGGGGCATCAAATGTTGAATCTTTTGGCCAAATTTCTCAAAATGGTCCCAAACTCATCCAAGCTTTGTCAAGTATTAGATTTAAAGGCCTTAGTGGAGAATTTGGGTTTGTCAATGGGCAACTAGAGTCCCCAATTTTCCAGATTTTTAATGTAAATGGAAATGGTGAAAAGGGAATTGGATTCTGGACATCAAAGTATGGCCTAGTTAAAAGACCGAATTCCACTTCTAGGGCCAACCTTGGACCTATCACATGGCCGGGTGATTCACATTCCATTCCTAAAGGTTGGGAGATTCCGAAGAATGGGACGAAGTTGAGGATTGGAGTGCCAAAGAAAAAGGGATTTAATGAATTCGTCAAGGTAACGTGGGATCAGTGGACTAATTCAACAACTTTCAGTGGAAGCTGCATAGATGTCTTCCGGGAGGTCATGAAGATAATGCCATACCCCGTCCCCTACGATTTCTATCCCATTCCAATGGATGTGGATGAAAGCTACAACAATCTAATCAAGCAAGTCTTTCTTGAGGTCAGTAACTTGCCTTTTGAGTTTGTATTTTATTCACTCTCTTTTAGTGAACAAGCCTACTTTAAATTTCTTAATTAACAATAAACTTGGTGTACAGAAATATGATGCTGTGGTAGGAGACATTTCTATTGTGGCAAATAGGTCATTGTTCGTCGACTTCACATTACCATTTATAGAGTCCACAGTGGTGATAGTTGTGCCCATAAGAAACAATACAAACGAGAATGGATGGGTGTTCGTGAAGCCTTTATCGAGGGACCTCTGGATCACTAGCTTTTGCTTCTTCGTCTTCATTGCATTTGTTTTCTGGGTTTTGGAGCATAGAATCAATGAAGAATTTCGTGGACCACCTTTCCATCATGTTGGAACTAGTTTTTGGTTCTCCTTCTCGACCATGATTTTTGCACACCGTATTAATCCTTGCCTTTCATATACCTAAGCTCTTTGGGAAAAAGAATGGAGTTGATGATTTTGACTTAAATTAATTACACTCCTAGTTGCATAATTCTATTTTTGTGTTTTCAGGGGAGAGGGTGTTAAGCAATCCAGCGAGGATTGTGGTGGTGATATGGTGCATTGTGGGACTCATTCTAACGCAAAGCTACACAGCCAGCTTAACTTCTTTTTTGACAGTTCAACAGCTACAACCAACGGTGACTAACGTAAACGAGCTATTAAGGAATGGGGAGAATATTGGGTACCAAGATGGCTCATTTGTCAAGGGAATAGTCCAAAGGTTGAAATTTGATCCATCCAAGATGAAGAAATTTACTTCATCAGAAGTTCTCGATGAACTATTTACCAATGGAAGTATCGCAGCTGCTATCGATGAAATTCCCTACATGAGCATGTTTCTTAATAGTAAAAGTCATTGCAATAAATACACTATCTTGGCGGAACCAACTTTTAAGACCGATGGCTTTGGATTTGTAAGTTCTCTTTCCTTCTTGGCCCTTTCATTGTTCTTAACATCAAGCTGATTTAATTTCTAAAAAAAATTTGTAATTAATAGGTCTTTCCAAAAGGTTCTCTTCTTGTAGCAGACGTTTCGAGAGCAATCCTAAATGTCACCGAGAGCAAAAGAACAGGGGATACTGAAAACACATGGAATAAACAAGCCAGTTGTCCTGATTCAAGCACCTTGGTTCCTTCAAATAGGCTGAGTCTTGGAAGCTTTTGGGGCCTCTTCCTCATTGCCGGGGTGACCGCTATATTAGCTCTTGTCTACTTCGCAACAAAGTTTTTGTATGAGCAAAGGGACATGCTGCGTGAGTGCAACCTTGAAATTTCCAATATGGAAGAGAATCCTTCAAATTTTGCGAAACTTCGACCAAAGAGACCTGACCTCGTACACCTCGGGCAACGTCAATTAATAGAGGAAGATCAAAATATTGAAATCATTCCAATTAGCGGTGTTGTTGAAGCCCCTGCTGAGACCCCAATTGAAGACCCTGATGGTATAACTGGTGCAGCAACATCTGCAGAAACAGAAATTAATCATGCTAGCATGAACAGCTCATGAAAAGGCTGAGCTCAAAAACAGTAACAATAATAGTGCAATTTCGAGTCGTTTATATGGGTTTTCATCTAGGTTAGACTTTCGTATTGGGTTGTGTTTGTATGTTGTGCGTAATATGTAGTTGTAGTATTTGTAATCTTTAGTGTGTAATATGTATGCAGGTACTTCGCATAGAATTAAAACATCAGCATCCAAGTTAAGAAATATATTTCTTAATGGTTGAACTACAGGCTCATTTAACAATGGCAAATAGTTTATTGAGGGGAATATGCAATTCGAAGAATACTGAATTCTTATACCTTAGCAAGTAAATAAAATGTGCTGTTGGATAGCTTCGGGTGTTGTGAAACATGTAGAAATTACAAGGAACTGGCATAAGGGAAAAGTACATCAAGTGGCTTCTATAGTTCTAATTCTCATGCATATATGGTAGTAGCCTTTAGAACATGGGTTACTAATTTTGTAGCTGATGTTTAGCAATAGCAAGTGGTTTGATGTTGGTAGGTAGCAGGCAAGAAATTAAGCTAGTACTGGTAAGAGGAAATATTTGAAATATTGGAGTACCATGTTATTAAATTTAAGTGATAGGCAACTGAGTATTTGTTTTTCCTTCTATAAGCAATCGTTCTAAGTGCTGGCCCCATGCTTTGGATTGGCAAGCATGTATAGGCATAATCTGTTGCTACAATAAGCAGCTGTTGATTTGTTTCCCTCAATCATAAAGGCATGTGTTGCTCAACAAGATTCAAGCAGACTAAAGGATTGGTTAGAAAATTTACAGCAAAATTAGAGTGATGAGCACATGACTAGCTCCAAATAGTCTTACTTGTCCAGTGACATATAATTGTATGATGCGAAGCCACATCAGATGAGACGCGGAAAAGGTATGCCATGCAATTAAAGAAAAAGCATGGAGCGTCATTGTCGTGGGCTGATTTGCATTAATCAGGGGCCAATATGCTAATCTGGGTAAGTTTAGAGGCTTAACCATTGATTTTGCCCTTTCATTTCTCCTGGTTGTTTGCTCAGGGCTAATTAGCTAATATGAGCCAAGTCTAGGGGTTTTGTTGAATAGTTAAAAAGAGCTAACGGTAAAGTAGGGAAAATTTATGGACTTGAGAATTTAGTCCTTGAAATATGTTATGATTAAATTAAACAAGAACTGGTTCATAAGATTAATTCAGACAGAGTGTGAAATTAAGTGATGAAAAAGCATGATCAAGATACGCAAATTTGTGACCATTTGTTTAATAGATCAAAGCTTAAAGACCATCCAATTAAATTATCAAAACAAGTGCCGAAGGACATGCAAAATGATGTCTGTGAGATTAATGGTTGTAACCTTTGAATGACTGTGAGATTAAATGTTGTAACTTTTGGACATTTGATTGAACAGATATGCTTTTTAGTGAATGATCAAACGTCATCATTAGACATGTTTAATAAACATGTTTTTTGACAAAGATGGACATGTCTCTTCGGACAAACCCAACAACCTTGTTCATTGTCTATATAAAGGAAAGTTCATATTCATTTTCGTCATTCAATTCATTCATAATATTCCTTCAAATTTACACTTTAAGAGAGTTTTGTTTTCTTCTATTGAATCTTGAGGGTTTTTAAAACTTGAAGGAAAGTGATTTCGGTTATGTGTCTCAGACTTTTTTTCATATTTTATGTAATCTTCTTTCTCTTTTTTTTTTTCTAACAGGTTTAACCTTTTATTCAACTGTCATTAGTCATTATTATGACATAATGTAATTGTTACTTGTTTGTATATGCAGAAGATAGTACTTTATTACTACCACCTGCTTAATTTCATAAAATTATGTGGACTTTGAATATCATTAATTGGTCGGAGAAGGATTGACTACTATTGACAAGCGCATGCAATTGGAAATTTCTTGAAAACGGATGCATGCATCTTCGAAATAAGATTTTGGAGCTGCCCATGATGACAAGGTTAGTATATTCTGAGATACCGCCGTTCGTCAGGATTCCAAAGATAAGACAACATTTCTCTTTCCTGAAAACAAGCATCTTTCGAGGCATGTTTAAGGTTCAATTGTGCGTAAGGGAAAGACGGATAATGTTGGAAGCAACTACGAGAATTGTATGGTTGCTTGTTGATTGATGGCTGTTGTTAATGATATGGGTTGGGATACCTCTTATATTCATTAGTACATAAAATTGTGCTTTTTTGTTAAAAAAATAAAAAAGAAAACAACGCAATAGATATACTCCTACAAATCATTTTTATTATCTCTTCTCATTTAATGGTAGTAATATACATGAATCGATTTAAAATTATTTAGTTAATGTTACACAATTGCTGTAAAAATTTCGTATTAACAAATATTGTAAATAAATCATTTAAAAATATTTTTAATTTATTTAGCCTATAAATATATAAATATTATACACCTAAAAGTCATTATGCACACAAAAGTATTATTGCCACCTTTTTTTACTTAATTGACCATTATCCTTTATTGCATACTATGCTTTTATATATATCCCACTAGCTACCAACCAAAAATAGAGAGTATAATAGTCAGTTAAATATAAATAATGAGAAAATAACACTTACGTGTGGTAATAAGTCCTCCCTTAATAAAGTTTGGGTGTACAATATATTGGAGGCCCACCCCCACTGACGGCATTCTCTTAATTGGTACATCTATTGGTATCTCTTGGTCTGAAAACCATCCTCCGAAGAAGTGAAAATGGAAATAATTCTTACCAAACACTTGTTCTGTTTTTCCTGCCTTTTCATTGTCTTTTGTAGGTTGCTCTCGGTGGAGGTGGCGGTGGCTACTGCAACCGCAACAATCCGGTGAATCTGGGAGTGGCTCTTGGCATGGATGAGTGGGTCGAAAAGTTAGGGTTGAGCTGCATCAACATGTTCCTCTCTGACTTTTATTCCATCCATGGTAACTACAGAACCAGGTCGGTTTTAAACATAATGGATTCCAAGAGAGATGTTGTTAGAGCCACTACCGTCGGTAAGAACTTTAATTATGTGATAAATGAGGTTTCCTCTATTTTTACTTGATGTTTTCCTAACACTTGTCTAGCCTATATCTTTAGGATATAAATTAAATGTGTATTAAATGATCTTTTATTAATTTGTGTAGAAAAATATAAAAGTTATTTTTATTTGGAGTTATTTACAACTCCAATGATATTTATATGATTTTAATTAAAGGATTTATAAATTAAAATCAACTTTTATTTTTTTCATAACAATTGCAAAGAATAAATATAATTAATGCACCCTTAATCAAGGATATATTAAAAAATCCCTAAAATAAAATCAAAGAATTGTTCGTTTCAAAGATATTTGGGGAACATCTCTAATTTATTTTTGCAATGGGAAAATTTCTAATTTAAATGATTGCTTGAAAAGCTGGGACCAATCAAAAGGTTGGGCATCGATCGGTTTGGTCATCAAACCAACCAAATTATGTAGTTAACCAAAATTTTGGTTTTTAGAAATTGATGACTAATCACTGAACCATATTAATTTGGTTATATTCGTTTGGTGACCGAATCATCTTGGTCCAATATAAATTGAGAAAAATAAAAGATAAAACATTGTGTATTTTTGTATTAAATTGCTACAAAATTCCAATTATTTTCAAAATTCAAGGGCAATTTCAATTTAACTAAAATTCCACTTTTTAATGTTTTAACCAAAATTTCATTTTTTGAAGGCAAATTGCATTAAACTAAACTACATAATTAACTTCAACCATAAAGTAAAATGAACAGCAGACAGGTATTGCGGTCTGAGACTTGGGATTCAAAAGGGGGAGGAGAAAAGTAAGGGATATACTAGAGAGTAGAGAGTTGGAAAAGGTTGGCGTGCTTCACAAGCCAGAAGGAAAATATGCTAGAGGTAGGTCAAGCCATCAAGGAGAACTGCGCCAAGATGCTGGAGAATGGAAGGTAAAATTTATAGTTTACGGAGAGGGAGTTAGTTAATAAAAAATTAAGGGAAGGAGAGGGGGAAAGGAAGAGGAAAATAGAACTATAGAAGGATATCATTTTCCTTTCATTTCCAACTATCCTCCTATCTACTTTCTTTGATTTCCTTCAAACCACAGAAAGAGTTAGAGTTTATTAGAAACAAAGAATGAAAAAAAGTTTAACTTCTTTTATACAAAGGGTTAGTGTTATAAAATAAAAAAATATTTAGTTAAATAAAAAGAGAGATAACCCACATTTAGGTTTGAACCCTGCCAAGCTGAGGAATCCTTTTTTCTACAAGAATGTTGTGCTAAGAGCAAGTACAATGGAGAGTAATCAAAGAGTTCACTTTAATGCTACGTCATCACAATTAATATTATTTTATATAAATTTATATTTTTATATATTTAACCTTCTAATAGAACATATCCTCTATAATGCCTTGAGCTTCCTTAAAAACCACACCAATATTAATATTTTCAACTCATATATTTTATATTTAAATAGAAAACCGTGCTATAGGGACAATTTTTTTATACAAAATTTTAAAAAAATTTCAAAAAATAATAAAAAAAGAGAAGGATTCAAAAACAACGGGCCCCCAAGAAATAAAAAAAACAAACAATTAAAATAAAAGGCAAAGTGGAAAAAAAAAAAAAAAAAAAAATTATCCCAAAATGATTTTAAGGCAAAAACCCATCTTAAACCCCTCAACTTTTTCAACAGCAAGTGATAAGCCCCTGAACTAAAAGAGTGACAAATAAGCCCTCCAACCCCACGATGGGTGCAAATCAGCCCTTCCGCTGACTGACTTCCTGACGCCGTTTGTCATCGGCTTCCGTGGCACTGCACCTGCACGCCTTTGCGTTTTTTTGTTTGCTTTTACTTCATTTTTTTTTGGTACAATGCTTTTACTTCATTTGTTTTTAATAATAATATCTATTTTTTAATTAATTCATTTTTTAAATTAATTAATTAATATTATATAATATATATCCCCAAGTATTTTTTAATAAAATAATGATATATTTTTTATTTTAATTAATAATACATTTTACTTCAATAGTCTTTATAAATTATTTTTTAAATTTAATTAAATCACTTAATTAATAAAATTCCTTTTAACATGTTCTTTATTTTTCTCATTAATTTATCTTTTAATTCAAATTTGGTAGATTTAATTTTTTATTTAGTGAGTGTAAGTTTAATTATTCACTTTTTTATTTTTAAGATATCATTTAATATGTTTATTCTTATTAACCCTCATTTAAAAAAAATAATTATAACATATTGTTACATCTCTATTTAAAAAAAATAATTA